CAATGGGCTCTAGTGTGGATTACTTAGACGTGGTAAAAAATAATTCTTCGAATTGGTGCCTAATATTCATGTTGAGATCTGGATATTTCGTTGTGGGGTTTGCTGGGTAATGTATTTGGTGAGGCACTACTTTGCACGAATCTAGTTTACTTGCAAATTCATTGGTGATGTTTTCTTCCTCACACAACGAGGTAGTAACGTTTGAAATTAATTTCACTTTATTTTTCTATTAGTGAATTTAATACATAGAACAATGAAAATTTATGTTTTGATTGAGAAAAAATGTATATTATTTTGTTCATTTTTATAACAACCCTCGATGCTAGTTTGAATATAAATTCCCGTATATGCAAATTCGTGCGCATGTTGTTTCACATGCTTAAGACATGTCATACCGAATAATTTAACATCCATTTTGGCTAACAATTTATAATTGATTTATGAATTCAATACATTCATAAGTATATTTAATTTATTATCCACATATTTCGAAATGAGCAAAATGTTTTGTTGCATAGATTTACATCTAACATCTGAATGTGACGAATGGTTAATTTCAATATTAGTCATTGAACTTTCACAAAAATCTCAATCACATAATTGATTTTTATGTTAGTCATTTTGTCAACTCTAGTTAACCAGTTAATGAAATAATATCCAATTCATGCATGGACATTAAAATTTAGCGGATCATTGACGTGTCGTTTGTAGTACGTGGAAAGTATATGACTTGAGGGTGGTTTGACAAAGTTTTTGATAAACATTTTTATCAGACTTTTATAGAAGTCAATGTAATGTAGTTGTTGATTTGATCATGGCAAATCAAAATTCCCACATACACATTGTCCGTCGATGCATCGACTATCAATTAAAATTTAGTAAAAAGTTATGTAGCAAGATTGGTGCTTAATAGCTACCAAACTATGTGGTGACGAAACTATTGTCACGTTGTCCAATAGATAAAGTGACATCATTACTTCATTTGATAATATGACATTAAGTCTATGTTTGGCTCCCATTATGTGGAAAAATTAACGGGTGGAATAATATTTTTTTGAAAAATAAATGGTTGAAAAAGAAGAAAAAGTTTTCGATTTACATGTAATATTATTTTCTGAAAAATTGTGTGGTTAAAAATAGAAAAGAGAAAAATTAAATGTAATAAAATGAAAATTAATGAGGGCCAAACGGGAGCTAACTTTGTATACATTGTTGACTTGTACTAGACAGCAACACCCTAAATTTTAGCGTCGAAGTTTGAAATCGGACGTTCAGTATAAATAAAGAAATGTAATAGATGAGGCTTTTGTTGAAAGTCAATTCAAGTTTAGTAATTTAACTGTAGCAAATTAAACGAGTTACCCAACTGAAATTTTATAATAAAAGTTACAATGATTAAAAGTTAAAACTAAAAGTAAACCATTTTTCTAATAAAAAATTATTTTCGCGTACCTGATAAGAATTGTACGAAGAAAAACTATAATTTGTTACTTTGATTTCATGTTTTTGCTAAATTTAAATTATTTTTAAATGAATCAAATACACTTTTTATTTACGTATTTCGAAAGATCCCTAACTCATTGCTCACTTGTTATTTACACATTTCATAAGATCAACTTATAAGTGAAAAAAAATAATAATAAATTAGCGTTCATTTGGGAAGAATTTATAATCAATTTAATTTATAAATAGATGAATGAATAGTGAACAGGTGAATAATACTAGTAAGTTCATAGTAATGTTTGATTGAAATGAAATTTGATTATTTATAAATTTTGTCAAACATATACTTAGAGGATGTTCGGTGGGGATTAAAATTAGGTTTTTGATAGAAATTGTTGAAATGTATGGTTGAAAAGTTGTGGGATTTGCGTATAATTTTATATTATTGAAAAATGTGTAATTGAAATAATGTCAAATCATTGTTTAAAAATATTTTTTTTTCAAATAATGTAGATCAAATAGGGGCTTAAGGTTGACTTTTTCAAACTTTCTATATGTACATTCACTTTTATATTAACTTTGACATCCTTATACGTGGCGCCTATCATAGCCCTTGATTTTTTTAAGCACCACTTCACATCACTTGTCAGATTTTGACACACAGAAAGAATGTCATTCATAATGTAAATTAGAATGTACAGTTAGCCCCTCCCCCCCCCTCCGGGTATAGCCTAGTGATGCAAAGGATATGAGTGATGTTATCTCACGTCTTATTGGCAGCCACAGTGTGGAGGTTCGATTTCTGAGACATGAAATTAGACTCCTTGTAGGCGCAATGTACAAGCAACTCTTGTTCCCTGGCCTGATAGGACACATCCCGCGATTTACCTCCCTCACAGAGTTCTAGGAATGGGACGGTGGAAACCCTCAAGGTTGGGGTTCAACCCTTTTTTATTTTTTTATTTTTTTTTAGAATGTACAGTTAGAATAATTCAATTTTTCATACCAACCACCTGCCTGGACCCTCAGGGAATTAAATCTCTATTCATGGGCACGCCCCCTCATTAAATTGGAAAATTTGAATTGATTTTGATGGTCCAATGAACCATTGAAGTTCACGAAATATTTGAATATATAATTAATGTGCATGCAAAATTATGTCCCATTTTTAAATTTTGGATATTTACAAAGCAAATGCTTGGCAAAATTGAAATATATTTGTTGTACATTACTATTTACAAATTGGCGAGATGATGATAAATTTAATTAAAATTATCAAAATCTCTTTACAACTTAAATTGTTGTGCTTATATAATGTGGGTTAATAGAAAAAATAATTTGGGGAAAAATTTTATTTGATTGATGAGATTTTGACTCAGTCCAATTTCGCAACGCCATCTGATAAATAAATATGTAAGTTGTGGTGTACATGTAGTACAATTGGACAAAATTTTGTTTGTACTAAGTAGTGATAAAGATAATTTTGTGATTAGTGAAATAGATCGATATACACATGAATGGTCACATTGGTATCGTATGTTTCAAAAATAAAAAAATATTATTCAAGTCAAGTTTGAACTTGTTCTCGTCCCATGAAATTAATATCAACGATATAAATACTAATATTTCATTTCAATGTATATTAACCGGAAAAAAACCCTAGATGATTGATAATATAGTGTAGCTTTGGTATTCATAACATTTATTTTCATTTTCATTTTAAATAGTTAAATATTGTTGGAGATTTTGGCAATTATTCTCTATAGTGAATGTTTTGTTGATTAAAAATGAATTATTACAATAAATAAAGAACTTGAATTGTTTAAAAAAATAAAAAATCCCATTTCTATTAAGAAAAGGGCCAAATTAGTTGTTCGATTGATCATAAAATATCAATATAGTTAGAAGTAAAGGCCAAATTATGAATAAATCATTACGAATTTACGATCGCTCAACAATTCTATAAGTTTTTAATATAATTATAATTTGAAATTAATTAAATTAGGAAATGTTCAGTCATTTTAACGATGCATTAGGTGGAAAGTTTCATAAGATATTCGATTTTAATGACATGAGATAAACAACATGTGAAGCAAGCCCATTTGGAGACAATTCTTTCAACTAAATTGCGTTTAAGCAAAGGACTCTACTCAAATCTTAAATTTAATGGATCTCGTATTCGTCAATTTAATCAAAATACTTGGACCCTTTAGAACATATTAATCTACTTAAATAGTAATTTTTAATTATTATTTAGGAATGACAATAGAATGAGACTAGAACACCCCTCAATTGGAGATTTTTCGTATATCTTGCCATAAAGAAGAAAGAATCTTCAGCGGGACGGTCGCACCAAGTGAATGGTGCGATTGACCAATGCCAAGGCGCCACCTCGACGGATGACCCACACATCTCAGGGGTGCGTGGTGGGTTATCCGCCAAGTTGGTGCACTCTGATAGAGTCATCGTGGTGAAGATTCTCTCCGTAAAGGGGATTAAAATATCCTGCTTATCACTCATTTACTTATTTATATTTATATTTTTATAATATGATTTAAACTTAATCCCTATTAGATAGGAATTAAAATCAGATTTTTTGTAAATTTTGATATACGTTAATGAAATGTATTGAAGAGTTGTGGAATAAATAAAATATATAGTTAAAATTAATTGTTGACTTTGACTTGGACTTGAATTAAGATTTAGATATGAAACAAGGGTTTAAACATGTATGAAGAGAATTAAAAAGAAAGAACTATATTCCTGATCCCCGACCCAGGACATGCCAGAATTATTACCATTCCTAACAAACTTATTTAGGGTGATTTGAGACAATTTTTGAAAGTCAAAAGGAGATTTTGATATCTAAAAGTTACAATTTGACCTGGCCTCCTTTTTTAAAATTAAAATGGGTGTAATAGTATTTTTTTGAAGAATGAGTGATTGGACAAGAAGGAAAAATTTTCGATTTACGTGTAATATTACTTTATAGAAGATTATTTGATTGAAAATAAGAGAAAGAGAAATAAAATTTAATTTAATGAGGGCTAAACGAGGGTCTATTTAACTAATTTTCTGAATATGCTTCTTATAGTTAAAAGAATTTTTAAAAAAAGATAATTCAATTCAATGTAACTTTCTTTAGAAACACTTTAAAAATAGGAAACTTTTTTAAAAGTTAGTTTCAAACAAAAATTAATATAAGTTTTTTTGGATCATGCTATACAAACATAATTGTTGACATACGGGATGATCGAATACTCACACCTCGGGAATCGAACATTATTTTATTCACACAAGGCTCACGCTCAATGTGAGATCGATCACCCATTTGATCACCAAAATTCGGACACTTTGCCCTTTTCCAAGTTTTTTGCTGAAACTCTCTGGCCAGAATTAAAAGCAAAGGCAAAAGTAATGTCAAAGGAATTCTTGTACGTAATTACGTATACCATCTTCACTGTTTAGGGGCATTCCTGTAATATGTCCACAAAGTAAGGGCCAATATGTTCATAGCACAAACTTATCACTGACTATGACAGTTTTCACTCATAACTTCCGCTTGGTAGCCATTGAAGGCCACGCTTTGGCTTAAATCTCAAATTTCTCACTTTTTTCAATTTCCACTGAACTTTTCTATTTTCTTCGCCATTTTTTACTTATTATGTAATCCTCTCAACCACCATTCATATGCCATAATTCAGTTTTTTTCATACACACGCACTGCATTGACATTCTCTCCGGATGAAATGGCGGTTTCCGACAATTCCACCGGCTCCGATGAATCTTCAGGCAGCATTTTTACCTCCAGAACCCCAATTCTTGGTCAAAAACTGGATGTGGTAATCATAACGACAGTCGTTGTAATGCTTATAATTTTCCTGTTAATTTTGCTTTTCCTCCGTTTGAATCGGAAATCAAAGCGAAATCGCATTGCCGTGAAGTACAGCTCGGGACTGTTACCATTAGAGATCAACGAAATCAAAGACTCGGATCGCACTGAAAGTCGTAAAGTGAATGAGCTGGAAAACAAAAACATAACGTTTTTGGTAGAAGACGTGGTGAAGGGTGTTGAATTCGGTAAAAAAGGAGACTCGGAGAGCAATGAGTTGGATTCCAATCGAAGCGCGTCGTCATCATCCGCTGCGGCATCGAGTGATGGGGTGAATAACTACGGATGGGGCCGAATGTACAGTTTGAAGGAGCTGAAAATTGCGACCAATCAATTTTCCGATGAAAATGTGATAGGAGAAGGCGGTTATGGCATTGTTTATCGAGGCATTTTGCATGATGGCTCTGTAGTTGCAGTTAAAAGTCTCCGAAACAACAAGTATGTATTTTCTCTACAAAAAATTTGCACTAGCAAGCTTAAATTTGCGGTAGGCGACTTACAATCTAGTATATTTTACAACAAAGTATCCGAATAAATTTGGAGCTGGCTGTGTGGATCATTTTCTATATTGGATTGAATTGAGTAAAACTTAATGCTGATGGATGATGGTAATGTTCTTTCATTCTCTATTCATGTCTGAATTGTGGGTTTGTGATTGTTTCTTTTTCTTATTTAATTTCTGTTCTGAGTTTTTGTCTTTTGATTTATAAGTGGAGTTGGTTAATATGGTTCTTGGGTTCTTTAGATGGAATTGAAGGGTATCAAAGCTTCATAGATCTTGAATGCATTGAATTCAGTGTCCAGATGACTAATTTTTGTCTCTTTTGACTGTGGACTAAAGTAAAACAAAGTAAACGTTAGCTTTTGTATCTTTAGTCCTTTATGTGCTGTATTATTCCATGGTTACACTTTAAATCCATCTTTTGCCTATAATTAATTTTCATTTTAGTGTTTCAATTCACTTTATTACTTTATTTTATATTGATTAACTTTCTTCCTTTTCTTTTTTGTCCTGAATAACTTTTCCCCTGTTCCATATTACTGGGATAAGTTTGCTGTTTTTGCGATGATACATATTCAATTGGCAATATTGTTAAGATCTGAATACAAGGATATGTTAATTACTCTAGGCCAGTCACTTGTTGATTGAATAAATTTGACTGGGATGGACTAGATACTCTTAATTGCATGCAGTTATACTTATGATGCAAGTTGATCTGCATCACATTTCTATTTTATAAATCAAAGCTATCAACATTAACAATGTGCTCTACAATGCAAAGCATCATAATTGACACGACAATAAAGCTCAAAATTTTTGAACTAGTTTATTCATTTTCTCAAAAGAATATTATATTTCCATATGTATACTCAACCTTGCCATGAGATCTTTTCGGGAAAATAGCTTCACGAATGAAATACGGGAATTTCAATGGTTCTTTTGGACGAAGTCACTTAGTGGGGATGTAAGACCTACAATAATTGGAGGTTGGGGATCCAAATGCCAATGAATTTTGATGGTGGTCTCCAGTGCTCATTTTAACACGAGCATGAAGAAATTGGAAATTTGTAAACCACAACGATTAAACGATTTAGCATAACAGAATGTGGAATATGATAGCTAAATTCCATCTTCTATACATTTACACATTATGGAATATGATATCTAAATTTCTTTCTACATTGGTAGACATGTCACGCTGTTTGAAAACGAAACATCTATCAGTTAAAATTGATTACACTTTCTGTTACTTCAAAACATATGAAATGTATACTAATGCTGTTTCATCTGTTAATGATAGGGGTCAGGCAGAGAACGAGTTCAAGGTGGAAGTTGAAGCCATTGGAAAAGTAAGACACAAGAACCTCGTGTGTCTGATTGGGTTTTGCGCAGAAGGGAGTCAGAGGTATAACTCATTAGCCATTTGGTTTTTCTTTTGTATAATCTAGATATCTCTCTTTTCTCTTGAACTCTCAAGTAATTTCTGCATCCTGCATTCAGGCTACTTGTGTACGAGTACATTGATAATGGCAATCTGGAGCAGTGGTTACATGGTGATGTGGGGCTGGTTAGCCCTCTCACTTGGGAGATCAGGATGAAAATTGCCATTGGGACAGCGAGAGGGTGAGACATTCTGCTGGAGTCTTATTCATCCACTAGAATCCCGGTTCATCTTGTGTGTAATTGATTACTTTCTAAAAACCTTGCTTGACGTCTATTTCTTGTCATTGCAACTTGATATTTCATCCCTTTTATATTATTTTTCGCAGTCAATATGTAATATTTGTTCTCTTAGCACTATCTGGTGAAGTTTCGGGAAGATATTTTCAATGTTGAAGTATATATTAGGAATTATAGCTACCAAAAATAAAAAAAAATGAAGAGGAATAGCCATATTGGAATATTTACAGCACCATTGAAAAGCTGATGCCTGGGTGAGAAATTTTCTTGAGTGATTGACTAGAAAATATACAGAATCCAGCTGCTAATCTGATATCATTCTGTTTTAATAGCTCTAAATTGAACATCTTTGTCTTTGTTTTATGCATCATATATACATGGATATTCCTTAAACCATTCTATTTATATATGCTGCCTAAGAAGGAATATGGGAACTTATTCTCGGCATTATGATTTAAAATCTTACAATCAATTTATTGCACAACCATTGAAGTGACCCACGGTGTGAGCTTAAATTGCTATATACCTGGATCAATGTTTCCCATCATAAGATTATTCAGTCAAGAAATTTATAGTTATTGAGCAAGAAGTTGTTACAGTACTGCTCATTTTCCTCAACTCCTCTGTCGTACCTTTGGTTTATCGATTTTTTCATACTCACGTGATTACAGTGGAGAGTAGAATTTTGGAAGATGACCTAAAATTCATCAAAGGTTCCCCCCCCCCCCCCAAAAAAAAACTCTGCTCTAGATAAAAATTATCAAAGGTTAAAATTCATATATGCAAGATTCAAACTTACTGTTATCTTCATATTTTTTTTGGTCACAGCCTAGCATATTTGCATGAAGGATTGGAACCCAAAGTTGTGCATCGTGATGTAAAGTCCAGCAACATTCTTCTTGATAGGAAATGGAACCCTAAAGTATCCGATTTCGGACTTGCCAAGTTATTAGGATCTGAGAAAAGCTATGTTACAACGCGAGTGATGGGAACGTTTGGGTTTGTTCATTTTTTACTCTCATTATGATTTTCCATGAAGTTATAAAGCGAATGACGAAATTTTCTTTGCTTCTCATCTACTCTTTGCTAATAGTTAACTTTGCATGTTGCTATAGATATGTTTCCCCTGACTATGCAAGTACTGGAATGCTCAACGAGGGGAGTGATGTATATAGTTTCGGTATTTTACTGATGGAGTTAATTACAGGAAGAAGTCCTGTTGACTATTCAAGACCACCTGGAGAGGTGAGTGAGGTCTTAACCCTTTTTGAACTCCCCCTTGCACAATATGGAGCATGTTTGACTCAGCTTTGGAAAAGTAGAAGTTACTTTTGAAGAACTTGTTAAATACGTGTGGATATTATATTTTTATCTTACTTCTCAATAAAAAAGCCACTTATTTTGAAGTAACTCTTACACTAGTGTCAAAAAAGGTTATTTACTTGTTTCATTTTTCAAGGAAGAAAAAGAACTATTTATTTTAATTTTTTTTAATTATCAGTACACCTTTAAGCAGGCAAACATGCTTTTAAATACAATTATAATATTCAATCTCCCTGAATCAATTTCAGATGACCTTGGTCGACTGGTTCAAAGGGATGGTGTTAAGTCGTCGTGGAGAAGAGTTAGTAGATTCCATGATTGATGTTCCTCCTCCTCCGAGAGCTTTAAAGAGAGTACTACTCATCTGCCTTCGCTGTATAGATTTGGAAGCCAACAAGCGTCCAAAGATGGGGCAAATCGTACACATGCTTGAAGCAGATGATTTTCCTTATCGCACTGTAAGTGGCATTCTTTCACTGAATTTTGTTACAGAATAGATGAGCTATTACTTTTACTATGAATTGGTTGGTTTATTGTTATTTCTCTGTCCATATCCTTAACCTTTTTTCATTGACAATATGTATATTGCTTCTAATTATAATTCTCACTCACAGGCAAGCCTTCAAATTTTATGACACGTTTGATAAGATTTATTAGATAGCATAGGATAATAAACAAGAAAAGGCAGTTAACTTTGTATCTAGTTCTCTCCAGTCCACACGGCACACCAAACATGCTCCTCGCGTACAAGTCATGGACTTGAGTTCTCATGAATATCACCAAATCTCCACATCTTAGAATCAATAATTTTAAACGATGATTTCCTACAGCCTTGTTTCACTGGAGTAATTTCTTTCTTGTCGCTTTAATCGTCTAGATAAATTAGCTCTTCGATATCTTGTAGGAACCTCGATCTACTCGTGAAACATCTCCTCTACATCCCCGAGAAACTCGTAACAACAAAATTCTATTCTCTCCTGAGGATGCGGTGAATGATGTACAAAGATCTAGGAGGAGATGATCATTGTTGATGGTGATGCACGGAGGTATACTGGTTTAATAACGATTAATACTTATTTACGAAGTTATATTTGTAAGAAAAGGAAGTGAAATGATTGCTTATCAGTATCTCCTGATACATTATTGTTTTTTTATTACACACTTGTTATATGACGATCTAAGTGAGCCTTGTATATACAATTATGTTACATGTATGTTTGATATGCGCGGACTATGGGATTAGGATAGGTATAATATATATTTTAATTTCCTTTCCTTATTTGATAGGATTCAGTATTGTATAGGGCCTGTTTGGGCACGATTTTTTCACTCAAAAATTGATTTTTTGACCGTTATTTCACTATTTCAGCCGTCATATTTGACTTCTTCTCTCACAAGTGGACCCCACATTTTTCGTAACGGTTAAAAAATCAATTCTCAAAATCACTTCCAAATAGGCTCATAGTCAACTTATCAAATAAGCCGTATATGTGCCAAAAGAATATTGAAAGACAAAAAGTTTGATCAGCATCCGGGATCAGTTTTTTGACCCTTTCTACTATTTAGGTCTTGTTTGAGCCCCATTTTGGGAGAAAATGTATTTTTAAATATTGTATTGATGGGAAATGTGTGGTTAAAAAATAAAGAAAAATTTTAGATTTACGTTTAATATTATTTTATTGAAAAATGTGTAGTTGAAATGATATCAAAACAGTGATTAATAATGCTTTTTTTTCAAAGAATGAGGCTCAAACAACGGCTTAAGAAGACTTACGGGTTTGAGCCTTGGGCATGATCCGGACCCAACTTAAAGTTTGGATTGTGTAAGCCTATGGCTCACTTTCAATATTTTTAAAAGAGAAATAACATTTACTTTAAAAAAAAAAAAAAAATGCCAAGCCTGTCGACTTGACACCCCAAATGGGGCCACAATTAATATTAAGCCACTGTTTGCTTTCCATTTTAATTTTAATACATTTTTTCCTCTTTTTTCTGTATAATCACTCGTTTTTCTTTTAATAAAATAGGGGAACATTACATATTTAATGTGGTTAAAATATATAATTTCAAAATTATGAAAAATGTTTTAATACTTAAGAAATCATGTCATAATTAAATTTTATTAAATAAATAAATAAATAAAAATATTTTATTAATTACATAACTTAAAGTTACAATATTATATACTTAATAATCACATTTATGTACTAATCACAATTACTAAATACTCAGGTCACAAATTTCATAAGTTATAATTTTATCATCTGTCACAAATTATTAAATTAATTCGTCATGAATATTTTTCAGTCACAATTCACAAATTTCATATATCAAAACTTTTTTATTAGTCACAAATTATCAAATTATTTTTCAATCACAAATCTCAAATCACAAATTTCATAGATCACAACTTTTTTATCAGTCACAAATTAATTATCAAATTAATATATCACTATTATTTTTCGACCACAAATCAAAAATTTTATAGGTCAACTTATTTCATAATCACAAGTTATTAAATTAATTGATTACAAGTTATATCTCGATCATAGTGATTAGTCACGACTAAAAAAATTTGTGATTCGTTATTACACATTTTTAGATCATTATTGTTTATTAGTCACAAATTATACATCTTATTGGTCACATATTATTATTGGTCATAAGATAATCGATTTATTGGTTACAATCATCCAAATAGTTGATCACGAAACACTCTCCATCTCATTTCATCCCATCCCAACCCCCAACTCCACCACTAACAACCACCATCATTTGCACATTTTAATGCAACAATAAATTTCAAACTTACTGTTCGCTAAAATACACACCGCAAGTGCACGGGTTGCGTTCAAATAATAAAGTAAACCTTTTAAGTCCGAGTTGTCGATCCTTTGAGGAATGTACAGTTTCGATTACATAACTCTAATTAATTTAATTCTAACAATAAAAAGAAACACACACAATTAAAAATATAATTTTAAAGTAAGTAAATTAACTAAAAAAAACTACAAAATAAGAAAATATAAAAGTCCTGAGAATTTCAGAGGAAAACGTGGTTGGGATTCATGATTTCGTTTAATTGTCGCCTAATTAATTTCTCCACAAGTCAATTAATGAATTACTCATTTACAATGTTAGATCCGGTCTTCCAATTTTAGTTAATTACCTCTCTTGAACAAAATTAATCATAATTGATTGGTTTAACCTACTATATGTCTATGTCGATTAAAACAAAACAATCGCATTAAATATTCTCTCGAACAATGTACAATTTACTAAACACATTCATTCATTGGTCACATAAATGAAAATGCATGAAATACAATAATAGGAACACATGAAAATAAGTAACTTTATATTAAAGAGCAAATATTAAAATTAATCAAGGCTAGGTTAATCTACAATCATAAATCACAACACAAATAACTTAGCTCATTTTATATATATGATAGCAAAGGAGAATATTCATACAATACATTGTAAATATGGCAAAATAATCGAGAAAATACAAGATTTAAAGATAAAAACTTTTTTGAAGCTTGAACTTGATTTTCGCAAATATTTCTCCACTCCTCGATTGAATCTCCTTTGCGTGCTCTATGGTTTTCCCCAAAACACCAAGAAAATGGAAGGAAAAAGAAGAGAAGAAGAAAGAAGAAGAAAAGTAAAAGAAAAAGAAAAAGGAAGAAGACCCAGCTTAAAATTGACCAACAAAATCGTATTTAAATGGCCAAAAATTGTCTAAGGTGAAATTGCGGAAGAAGACCCGAAATTTAAGCGGAATAGGCAAAATTAACGGCGCGCGCACACCGTTAGAGGCTTTTGGGATCGAGAGATCATCAATGGATTCCCCCGCACGCAACATTGCGCGCAGGCATTCTTCAAATCTTTTTCCACTTAGTCCTACATTTAATTGCACACAAGACCCCTCAACTTTGATCATGCACAATCTGGTCCTCAATTTTTGATTGCCATATCACTTTTGCGCTTCAAAATTGCAACCCTAGGTCCTCGAACTTTTGGTACTTGTGCGCTTTGTTCCAACTTCACATTTTTGTACGCTTTTGGTCCCCTTTTTTCTCCATTTTGCCTTATTCTTTTTCCTTGGATGATTTTTAGCCTACAAAAGCAGATGTTACCCAATTGTAAGTAGAATTTCATTTATTTTATCAATTATAAGCATATTTAGGTATCTAATAAGTGTGTAAAATACACACTTATCACTTACTGTTGTCTCCTCGATCCAGATACTACACTTCCAAAGCAGCTTCCAGCTTTCATTTCTTTGCCTTCCAAACTAGATCCACCACCATCGCTATGCTTCACCAATTTACCACCATATCTCCCACATTCAAATTATCAAAACACAGATCCTTCTCAAATCTAAGCAACTATCAATCCCAAACCACCCAAAAACTACGTTGCGATACGATGATCAAAACGTCATCATTGCTACCCAGCGACCCTCTTACAGTCAGTACTCCAACCCATTCCATCCTACCCCGCTCCCCCACCAACACCACCACCATCACCAACAACATATTTATAAACTTTAATGCGATAATAAATTTCAAACTTATCATTGTCTCCCAAATGCAAATGTTGCACTTCTAAAGCAGATTCCAACTCTCATTACTTTGCCTACCAAACTAGATCCACTACTATTGCCACTCGTCAATCACCAGATTCGCCTCCAGTTCACCACCATATCTCCCACATTCAAATTGTCAAAACATAGGTCCATCTAAGATCTAAGCAACTATCAACACCAAACCAGCCAAAAACAGAGTGCAACATTATTTTATTGAATAATGTATGGTTGAAAAGAAGAAAGAGAAAAATATATTTTGAAAATAATGGGGATCAAACAAGGATTACTTTAATTTTATAATATTATTATTGGTTGTACTACATGTACATAATAATTTATGCACACATGATTTGATTTGATTTGATATAATTAGGTCAGAACATTTTCAATCAAATAAAAAAAATTCCCACTATTTTTTTGATACACCATTTGTATGTAAACCATTATGTATGGTTTACATACAAATGATATTATTCCATTATTATCATCATCATTATTATTATTATTATTGAATATTTGAATTATCGCCTTACTTTTGAATAAAAAAGTTTTAAACATGATTTTTGAATTGGAAAATTAAAAAAACTTGTGGAGGTGTAATTTTCGAATAAAATAATATTGCATAATTCAAAACTTTTCTTTCTTTCTTAACCACATTCTCCCAAAAAATTACTATTTCAAAATATAATTTTTTGAAAACCTCATTAAAATAGGGCCAAGGAAGAGCACATTTGGCACATACTACTAAACGAAACTGAATAAGATGCCAATTTTTTTCTCTTCCAAGTGTTACCCAATATCAAATAAGTTTTGAATTATTAATCCTAGTAAAATTATTTAATTAATTAATTGGTCATGACATAGCATACACCTGCAAATATTTAAAATTGATGTTGAATCACACATAAGTATAGCTGAACAAACAGATAAAAACATTGTACAAAAATTATCAATTTCCTATTCAGTCCACTTCAATATGTAATTCACACATCTTAATCGCCTTATTTGAATAAACCATAAGTATATCTTGTCCTTAACACGTCCATTGACATAGGATAAGGACGGATCTGAGATTGGATCCAAGATCGGGTTATAAAATTTCAAATTGGACTACTAAGTGGAAAAAAAAATTTACACATAAAAAATTGGTTTTTTACCAAAAAAAATAAAAAAATACCTTTAAACAAAAGTTGTTGGGCCGGGGGGGGGGGGGGGGACTATAGCCCCACCCTCCCAATCCCCAAATCCGTCCCTGACATAGGATCCACATAAGGAAAAACACTTACCATTCGTTGGTTATTAACGACATCTCGAAAACGTATCGGTCTATCTATACTATCAGAGAGGGAATATCGGGTATCTCGTCTTGGAGAGAAACTTCAGTGGGAAGCAGTGCAACTGTCCTATCAGGGTGCGCTATCTCTGACGGGTGGCCCACACACCTCGAGGTTATTAGCGGCATCTCGAAAACGTCCCGATCTATCTAAACTATTAGAGAGGAAATATCGAGTATCTCATCTTGGAGAGAAACTTCAGCGAGAAGCGGTGCAACCGCCCTATTAGGGTGCGCTACCTCGGCAAGTGGCCCACCATGCACCCCTAGATGTGTGGGCCACCCGCCGAGGTGGTGCCTCGACATTGGATGGGCTCATCACGTGGATGGTGAGCCCACTTCACTAAAGAT